CCCAAGTTAATGATTGGTTTTTTCTTTTTTTTTTTTTTTTCCTGGTACGGGGCATCAAACTCGGGACCTTGCTCTTACAAAGGGGGTGGCAGAACCACTGAGAGGTGTTTACTTCTGATAGGTGTTTACTTTTCAAAGTTTTAACCCTGACTCATTCTGACCAGAATTTGTGAAACAACCTTAAGTAATTTAAATTCTAAGAGGTAACTTGTAGCTTGGCACTTCTAAGGGTCCTTCCTCTTTTTACTACTCTTAACACTTCATTATATAGTAGGAAGGAGAAAAAGGAAGAAGTCACGATGGCACTCAGGCTTGATGCCTGGATGACTAGGAAAATATTAATTGATCCATTGGACATAGACATGAATAGGGACAACCTGTTCATATCAAAGTCTGTTCTGTTGTGCATATGTGAAATTTCATACATCTTTTCCCACTTGTCAGATAAGAAGTCAGGTACAAAAATGTTATGTTGACATCTTGGGAGCTTTTCTTTACAGCTAAGATTCTTCCAAGAGTCATCTGTTCAATCATTGCCCCAGCCTTACCTCCTGTTCACCCCTTGATCTGTTATAATCTAGCTTCTTTCTACCTCTTCACTAATTACTAATAATCCCTAAATTACTTGATCTTTCTGCAGCATTTGAAGTGACCATCAAGTCTTCCTGAAATCTGCTACAATGTCTCCCAGCATACCATTCCCTAAAGGTGTGCCTTTCATAGCTCTCCCCTATTTTGGAGTTCTTCCTAAGCCCGTCTATCTCTTCAACTCTCTTCTCCCTCTTTTGCTCACGTATTCACCATCCCCCTTAACTCACTGTCCTGGCTGAGTTCATCTAGTGTTGTGTAATGAAAAGAGCTTGGCCCTGAAATTTAAAAAAGCCTTAGCTCAGAGGGTCTTCTCTGCTGCGCCCTCCCCTGCAGTGCTGTTCCCCACCATCTTCAGTGCCAGAGGGTCTTCTCGGACGGGCCCTCCCCTGCTGGCACCACTGCTGCCATCTTCAGCGCCAGAAAGGTAGCCACATGGGCACCCCCGAACCCTCCCAACCTTCCCCCTCGCACTTTTAGACCTCCTGATTGTACCAGTCTTTGGACCTACTCTC